TTTTTTGTAAAAAAAATTATTGTCTGGACCTCTTTATGAATAATTACCCATTGATGGGCTTATTTGTAAAGTGCCCTATTTTAAAATACTTTTACAAGTTATATAAAGTGAAAATAAGATTTTATAATTAATTATAGTTAAGTTCTATGATAAGTAAAGTTCAAAAGGCAAGACAGTTAGCGAGCGGTCGTCGACAAGTGATAGATTTTCCTTACGAGAAATGAGATTCAAAAAATCAGGAAGAAGAAAATAAATCACCACCGGAGACAGGCGGTCAACGGCGATGACGAACGAAACTGTTCATAAAAATGTGTTGTGGGTCAAAATTGAATAATCTGTGAAATTTGGGGTCAAATTGAGGTTAGATTAAATTAAAGGATGAAATTGGAGCATATTAAACTATGAGGGACTATTTAGTCTTTTACAAACTTCTGGACCATATGTGGACCTTTTTTGTAAAAAAAAATTATTGTCTGGACCTCTTTATGAATAATTACCCATTGATGGGCTTATTTGTAAAGTGCCCTATTTTAAAATACTTTTACAAGTTATATAAAGTGAAAATAAGATTTTATAATTAATTATAGTTAAGTTCTATGATAAGTAAAGTTCAAAAGGCAAGACAGTTAGCGAGCGGTCGTCGACAAGTGATAGATTTTCCTTACGAGAAATGAGATTCAAAAAAATGAAATTGTGAAAAATGGGTAAATGAGAATAGACACAATGAAAATTGAATGTTTGATAAATGAAATCATAAATTAATTTTTATATATAGATTAATTATAAAATATAATATATTTATACGGGTCGGTTATGGTCGGATCCAATAAGACCCGTAACCCGACCCAAAACTATCTGATTCTAGAAACGGATCTGTTTCGGGTCTAAGATTAGACAAACCCGTACCCATTGGCCATTACCATCCATACTCAACTCCCCACCCTCGTCGTGTGTCGTTCTTCTAAAAAAACAAAAGGAAAATTATGGAGGTTCATTAAAAACCGCAAAACCATTTCACAAACTACCAAAAATAAAAACAACTATTACGCCAATTCAAAAAAACAAAGAAAAAAAAAAGAAAAAAAAATATAAAAATAAAAAAAAACAAGAACAAAACTCTTGTCAATGTAACTGCAAGCTCTCCACCACAACTGATGCAGGTTTACTACCACCATTAATGCGGTAGTACCGTATTAATCTTTTTTCGAGTTACGTCCCGATGAGCATTCCTGGAACGGTGATCAAAATATATCCAGAGAAATTTCCGATTAGCTGAAGCTTGACGAACCACTAAGAATCATCTTCTTGAGATTGTGAAATTCTACTCCTTGAAACATTGGCTTCACCGATATAGATGGTTTCAAGAGACGGGGTACGGATTTCGATACTACAAAGTTCCTCCCCCAAGGGTCTATGAGCCATTCGATCTGAAAATTTGAAGAACTTGAGATTGTGAAGATGATTCACAGTTATTTTCCTTAACCTTGTACGCACTTCGATGCTCAAAGTTTTGATCGAAGGACAACATGCGATTATCTTCTCGAAAATACCCTCCTCGATCGAGACGCCTTCGAGACTAAGTGACGTTAGATTCTTGAGGGGTACTGTCCTTTCAATAGCCTTTCGGTCCAACACGAGTCCTTCCAAATGTAAATCTTGGAGATATTCGGCTCCAAATGAGGGCAATTCAAACGTTCTACGGAGAGAAATTGATGCATGTTTCGTTTAAATTTGGCGTCGGGAAATTCGAGATTAGGGCGAGTGCACCAAATATAACGCCATGATTTGGACAAAACAGAGGTTCGGACAGCATCTTCTTGGGACAGCCAATAAAGTATTTGCTGCAGCATCTTCCCTTTTTGCCCTTTTTGCCCTTTTTGCCGTTACGTACTACTACAAAGATTTTGATGCAAGAGTCGACGATTGATAAACCCTAATGAATTTGTGCGTCAGAAAATATTAAGATTTGCAATTAAACCTTTTTTTTTTAGAACGATTTACAATGAAACTTATTCCGATTGGTTTCTATTTCTTCTAGTCCATACTTATTTTCCTTTTTCAAGGATTCTTGAGTATGTAGAGAGGATCCCATTCCCACATGCTATGTGTACATATTTGATATTTGATTAAAAATTTAAAAATAATATAAGTTAATATTTACTATTGATTTAAGGGCTATTTGATTAAAAAAAAATATTGAATTTTGACTTCTTGATTTTCATAAAAAGAAAAAACTTCTTGATAAATCCATTTTTCAATTGATATTTACCATAAATTCAATTAACCCAAAATACTTTATATGTCCCAACTATTTCAATAAATTGAAAAAAAAAAAAAAAAAAAAAAGAAGCAGCCTGCTGAGAAATGCAAATTCCCCCTAATTAATAGCACCAAAAAATCCTCTCAAAAAATCCTCCAAAAAATACCTCCCAAAATATCTGCTCCCAAATCATGCTCCAAACCAAGTCGAAAATTATCGTTTGCCTACACAAAGCCCACCCAACAATGGATAAATCGTTCCAAGAAGAAGACAATCGAAGACAGAGCCTGACATTATGAAAACCACTATGTATAAACAGTTATATAAACATAAAAACTACTCTGTATAAACAACTATATATTCTTGAAAACCACTCTGCATAAACAACTATATAAACATGAAAACCACTCTGTATAAACAAATGTATAACCTTGAAAACCACTCTACATAAACAACTATATAAACATGAAAAAAACTCCGTATAAATAGTTGTATAACCTTGACAACCACTCTGTATAATTACAAAGCCGCTTTCTTGCTCGGATAAACAACATCATAACGTTCAAGCAAAACAAACATGTTCATACATGTACAATTTAATTAAATTAATCCAGGTACAATAATATGAAACTTACAGAAATTACAAAAACACTCTGTATATTTGTAACGGCGATTTCCTACTCATACAATCGTGGAAGAATTTTTGAGAATTATAATTCCCACTACAATGAAAACGGTAATCTACAATCAAGGAGCGGGAATGGTGGATTTGTTTAAACATGGTGTATTGATATGATGGTTTATACTATGCTACACCGGGTGAAATACACCGGGTAGATCTTTACCATTCATATACACACAAACACACACACACCCACATTGGTGAGTGTAGATCAACGGTAAAAAATCACTCAATGTAACCTTCATCGGGTGTAGCATAGAAATAACCTTGATATGGTTTATACTATGGCTTATAGAAATATATGGAAAATATGCCATTCCTTTGGATCCATCAAGCATAATAAAATTTGATTTCGGCCCATAAATAAAGATGCCGTAATATGCCCCCATCATTTACAACCCTCTACTCTCCATTGAACCAATAAAAAAGGAATCAAATAAGGGAGCATAATAAGAGAAGTTCGATAAACGAGCTCCATAAGAGAAATCCAATATAAATGACGAGGAATCCGACAATGGAAGACCAGAATGGAAGAAATCCAATAATTGAATACCAATATAGAACTTCGATAAGTGAAGAAATCCGAATCTGAAGACCATAAATAAAATCCAATATTGGAAGTCGGCTCGGTTTAATAGCTCGACCGATCACCTTTGGGAATTTCAACACCATCGTTAAAATATTTTGGGGGGTCGGCTCGGTTTATGATCTCGGCCAATCACCTCTAGCATTTCCACCTTATATACAATATATTTTGTGACCAACTCTGATGAAAGGGGTAAAATTCATTTTGCACTCATGTACTATGCGAAAGGTATAGTTTACCCCCTGAAGTATTGAAAACATAAAACGCCCCCTTATTTATGACGGTCAATGGTCAAACTTTTAACGGTGTTAAATTTGAGCGTGAAATGACTCTTCTACCCTGCATTATGTATAATATAATTCCTAATTTTTTAAAGGTTATTTTTGTGGATTGTTGTCGATTTGTAGAGTACATTTAAATTAGGGTTTTTGTCGATTTAATTGTTTTGTTTTAGGGGTTTTCAATTTTATTTTTTGGAGGGTTTGCCACTATAATATGAAAACTTGGTTTTTAAGTTGTAATTCTTTCATAAGGTTTTATTTAAATTTTACGGCTTCTTTTAGATTTCAGGTTTTCAGGGTTTTTTTTTTCTTTTTTTGGGTTTTGCATTCATGATCTGCAAAGTTTCATTCTTATTGTTTCGACTATTTAATATTTTTTCATAAACAAAAGAGAAATAACTGAAAAGAGTAAGAAAAATGACTGAATAAAGTGAACAAAAAAATGTTGAAAAGAGCGAAAAATCTGGTGAAGAGTGGACAAAACTAAGTAACTTATATATAGAAATTTTTTGAGCTATTTTCGTCAAAAAAAAAAAACCAACAAGAGCCGGTCAAAAGGTTTGACTAACGGAATTAGGAAAAAAAACTAACGGCAGGGAGGTGTTTGATGTTTTCTATGCATCAGGGGCTAAATGATAGATTTTTCATAGTAAGGGGTGCAAAATGAATTTTACCAAAAAATTCTAATTGACTAAAAGAAAGAAGACATCAGAAATTTTAGAATTTTCAAAATCTTGTTGCATTTATAATTAAAAAGAAAAAAAAAAATTGTTGAGAAAATATAGCTTGAATATTTATTAAACCTTAACTATGTAAATCTAATGTATAGAATGTAAAATTTATGGAGATTCCTTAAGAACTGCAAAACCACTTCACAAACTTAATAAAAAAAATATTACGCCAATTTAAAAAAATAGGAAAAAAAAAAAACTATTGCGCCAATTTAAAAAAAAAGGAAAAAAGAAAAACAAGAACGAAAATCTTCTTGGTGTAATTGTCACTATTCAAATTCTAGTATCTTATCTCCATTTCAATGCAAACCGAATACTATTAGATTCTCTTTGATTTTCGTTTAGCCTTCTGGATAAACTCATGGGATCCCAATGCCATGGATCATTTGGATTATATTCGCGATAGTCTCGCAATTTCAGCAAACTCATTGCTCGATTGTTGTCATTGTACTCTGGCAATTCAGACAGAGTTGTTGGACGCCATTCTTTTTGATTATAGTCAGAAATCTCCATTCTCACTTCTTCCAAATCTCGAAACCAAAACCGATCTTCCTTTGTAATTTTTCTCTCGGTTAGAATCTTCCACAGACGCTCGATCCTTTTCATCTCCCCTTTGCCGCCGCAGAGGAAGTCTTCGATGTTTCTTGGACGACAAATACTAAACACACCATTTAAAATAGATGAAATCAAAGATAAAGGGAGCCAATTGAACTTGAATTTCTCCACCACAACTGACGCATGTTTATTACCACCATTAATGTCTTGTACCATATTAATGTTTTCTCGAATTCCGTCCCTATCAGCATTCAAAGAATAACGATCAAAATGCAGAGAAATCTTTGATTGGCTTATTGACTTGAGCAGTTCATGAAGCTTGATGAACCACGAAGAAGCATCGTCCGAAAGCTCACATGTTAGATGAATATCCGAAATCCATTCGGTGGAAGTAACAGTTGCAAAAGAGATGGATGGGATAAAGTCTCCATCATATCCAAAATAGATTATATTTGGGGCATCAATAAATAGCTTGATTCCTTTCAGTCCGTCACAATTCGCAAGATACAAGAACTTGAGGCTTGGGAATTTACACGACGACAAGTGTTCCAATGAAGATTTAACACCGCACAAACTTAAATACTTGAGATTGCGAAAAAAATCCGGTCCTTTGTGGAACCAAACATTGCCTTCACTGATACAGATGGTTTCAGGAGATGGGGTGTGGATTTCGATCGTACAAAGTTCCTTCTCAAAAGAGGCCGGACGATATACATCGTCTGAAAAAGAAAAGTACTTGAGATTGTAAAGATTCTTGACGATAATTTTTCTTAACACTGAAGATACTTTGATATCCAAAGTTTCAATCAAAGGACAACATGAGATTATCTTCTCGAAAATCCCCTCCTCAATCGAGACTCGTTGGAGACTAAGTGATGTTAGATTCTTGAAAAGTACCATCCTTTCAATAGCCTCTCGGTGCAACACGAATCCTGCCAAATGCAAATCTTGAAGTGATTCGGCTCCAAAGACTACAGACGGCAGTTCTTCTACTATACTACGTTTCGGAAGATTACAAAGACAAAACTTCTTCACGCACATGCTAGTGAGTATTCGAACCCATTCTTCAACAAGAGAAACAGATGCACAGTCGAAACTGAATACCGACATACAAACATGAAATTCATCCACACACAGTCTTTGATCACAATACAGTTGTAAAGCGGTGTTCACAACGGAGAGAAATTGATGCATGTTTCCTTTAAAAGTGGCGTCGGAAAAGTTGAGATTAGGGCGAGTGCACCAAATATTACGCCATGATTTGGACAACACAGAGGTTCGGACAGCATCTTCTTGGGACAGCCAATAAAGTATTCGCTGCAAGATATCTTGTGGTAACTCTGATATCTTGTCTATGGAGTTTGAGCCCTCTTCCCTTTTTTCCCTTTTCATTGTTACGGAATACTCCAACGATTTTGATGCAAGAGTCGACGATTGATAAACCCTAATGAATTAATTGTGAGCTTCATAAATCACACAAAGACCCTTTGTTATAGAGAGGCGTGGAAGATTACCCTGTTTCTATAGGATTTGCTTATAAACTTATTCCACAATAGGTGGATTGCACTAATTTTCTTTTACTGCAGACGTATTTTCCTTCTTTAAGGATTCTTATGTATATATCTGAGAAGATCCTATTCCCACCTTCTACGTGTATATATATGGGGAACTTCTAAAGTAATAAAAGTTAATAATTATTATTTAAGGCAAATGGCAAAAAGGGACGTGACAGGGGACTTAAAAGCACATTGGTCGACTGAAAAAACAGTCTTTTAAATAAACTCATCCTATGGCCTTAGTCTAAAATACCCTCCATAATATAATTCTTATAAATTTCATACATTATGCTCTAACTTCCTTAATATTACACATTGACCCCGAATTTAAACAAACATATCACATTAACCCCATTTAATAATTTTTTGAATTTTTTTTTTAGAAAATAATTTTTTTTCTGAATTTTTTTTCGGCGTGATTCCGGCGTTGACCACCGGAGACGACTTTTTTTTTAGAAACTTTTTTTTTCTGAATTTTTTTTTCCGGCTAGTCAACCCTCGTTGACCGCCGGTCTCCGGCATTGACTTTTTTTTTTAATTATTTTTTTTCTTAGAAAAAAATATTTTAATTAATATTACTGTAGCTTGTTTGTTAAATTACTGTCTCAGACAGTAATATTACTGTTTGGGACAGTAATATTATGAATATTATTTTCCCGAACAGTAATATTACTAATATTACTATCCCAAACAGTAATACTCTTGCATGAGACAATAATATTACGGTCCGAGACAGTAATATTACAGTCGAAGACAGAAAAAATGCAGGCCAAGACGATAAAACAATAATATTACTGTCTCAGACAGTTAAATTATTGTTGGAGGCAGTAATTTTGCAGCCAAGACAGTAATATTAATTAAAATAATTTTTTTTAAGAAAAAAAATATTCAAGAAAAAAAAATCAATTAACAGTTAAATTACTGTCTCCGACAGATAAATAACTGCTGGAGACAGTAATTTAGCAGCCAAGACAGTTATATTAATTAATTTTTTTTTTTAAGAAAACACAAAATAAAAAATAAATAAATAAAAAGTCAACGCCGGAGATCGGCGTTCAACGACGGCTGACCGATGGTGGCGGGTCAAAATTGGTTAATTGGTGAAATTTAGCTAAATTAGGGTGTAAATCATGAAATTGGAGTTTAATTAGGTTTCAAGGAATTGGGGGTAATTTTGGAATATATGAAAGGGTTTTCCTTATTTGCAAATAAGTTTGAATGGGGTGGAAATATTTGAAAGATAAAAAAGTTGGACGCCCCTTTTTTAATTAAGTGTCATTGTATGGGCCTTTTTGAGATTAAGCCTATTGTTTGGAATTTACTCGTAGATGTCGGTCTCCTATGATACTGAAATAGAATTGTCAAACCGCCTAAATTTTGCAGCCTTTTGCGGATTAACACCTGTAACGGTGTGTGCGGGTCATAAATCCTCAGGTTCTGGAAAAATTCACCCTCATCCCGTCACTAGTGGTTCTTGATTTTAAGAAATCAAACTTGTGGGTTTTGAACAGGTTTAAGATAGACGGGTCTATAGCAGTTTACAATGGGACCCAACTTTCACGAATCAGAACAAATCATAATTTAAATATGTTACTTTTTTAATAATTTATAAGTTTTACACGAAACTAATTAATTAAAGTGAATGACTAAGCGTAAAATCTTAAATTAAAACCAACGTGATGTGAGATAAATGTCAAGAGCAAATTAAAATTAATACGTTTTTAACCATAAATCCATTAAAAAAGAGTAACTAAATTCAAAGTTTTATAAGATAAGATTTAAAATAAAATAGATAACTAAAGACAAAACGAGATGATGTCGTCTTTATAGATATAAGTTTTGACATGCAAGAGATACTTTATTCATGCAATATATATTATTAATTTACTATACTACATAATATAAATAAAACGACGTTGTTTTGTATGGCGGGGCGGGACAAGTTTCACGGGTATTAAAAAAATTTGAACTAGTTTTGTCCATTGCATGACCCAATTCTATTGATGAATCTATCCATCCGGTCCTAGCAGGACATTTTTTATCGGATTTGAAGGATTCAATGGGTGGATCGGTCCGACTTGCTTACTCCTAACCAACTTAACTCAATAAAGTGAAATTTCTTTTTTTTTTTTTTTTTTTTTTCCATTTCACAATTCCTAATACATTCCAATTTCCCTATTTCGGCTGAATTAGGGAAATACGTACAACAGACACACATGTTTATTGGGTGATGGAATGATTATACAACTTTGACGATATAGATGTAAAATTAAACAAGAATTTGAAGAAGAGGAATGAGCAAATACGGAGAATGAGGAGACAATCAAAAGGAAAGAATTAAGAGAAGTCCTAAAAAGAAAATTAACATGGGACATAAATTCAACGCTAAAAGAAAATAATATTGCTTTTTATTTTAATCTATTTAATTAATGAGCGAATGGTAAAAAGGCCCATCACGAGGAACTTAATGCACATTGATCCACAAAAAAATCAGTCTTTCAAATAAACTCATCCCCATGGATTTAGTCTTAAATACCTTCCATAATATAATTCTTATCAATTTCATCCATTATATTCTAACTTCCTTAATATTATACGTTGACCCCGGATTTAAACATATATATCACATTAACCCCAAAAATCAGCGTTGACTTTTTTTTTTATTTTTTTTTTCTTAGAAAAAAATATTTTTATTGATATTACTGTCTTGGCTGCTAAATTACTGTCTCAGACAGTAAAATTACTGTTTGGGACAGTAATATTATGAATATTATATTTCCGAACAGTAATATTACTAATATTACTGTCTCAAACAGTAATATTACTAATATTACTGTTCCAAACAGTAATATTACTGTCTGAGACAGTAATTTAGCAGCCTATAATATTAATTAAAATAATTTTATTTAAGAAAAAACAAAATTTCAAAAAAAAAAAAGAAGTCAATTAACAGTTAAATTACTGTCTCAGACAGTTAAATAACTGCTGGAGACAGTAATTCAGCAACGAAGACAATAATATTAATTAAAATATTTTTTTTAAGAAATAAAAAAATTCAATTAACAGTTAAATAACTGCTGGAGACAGTAATTTTCGAAGCACACTGCACCTTTTTTAATTTTAGGCTCTGACTAAATGTAAAAAGACTGAAATATCCTAGAGTTTTTTCAGCAATTAGTACATGATAATTGATGCTAAACATCAAAATTGGATTATCAAATACTCATTTGATAATTAAGATAATATTTTAATATTCATTTATAGTTTATCTACTCCAACCATGGTCATCAAATTAATCATCAATTGGAAGTTTTTTAGTAGTTTTATTTGTAATTGCCACGTGTTATTTTGTGATTGGATGTTTAGGTAGTTATTTTTTTGATAACTCAATTTCCAGGATGTATTTTTACTTACAAAGAGGTATAATATAAAAATACTTACCCATTTTGATACTCCCATTGGAGTAGAAATTTTTTATTTTGGGATACCAAAAAGGTGGTGTATGGGTTTGATAATCCATTTGATACTCCCGCTGGAGTTGCTCTAATTACACCAAATTTTATATCATAATTATCTAATTTTATATAAAATAAAATTATTTGTAATTACAAAAAGTAAAAATTATATAAACAAGAATTAAAATATATCGTAATATTAAAAGTTTTTATATGTGTTGTAATGTTGTATTTTACATTTTATGAACAAGATTAGTCAAAAATAAAAAAAATAAAAAAATCACGCCTCCTTCCTGCACCACCACAACCTTCTTCTCCAATCTCGAGTGAGGTAGGGTCGCCGCTCGGAGTAGCCTATGATTATTGGCCGATGATGGAAGGAGGAGTGTGCTGCCATGGAGGTGACATCCATGGCAGACGCAACAAAGTTGCAGGGGTTGGGGTAAGGTGTGGCGGTGTCGAGGGAGAGGAATTTGAAGGAGGGGTGGGCGGCGGTGATGCAAGACGGCGACGGTGTCGAAGGAGAGAAATATGAAGGAGTGGGTGGGTGTCGGTGGGGCCAGACGGCGGCGGTGAACTTCGGGGAAGAAGGTTGGGTGTAGACACGACCATGGGCCGGTTCGGGCCGGTTCACTCCGAAACCGGAACCGGAACCGGCCCATACTACATATGGTTCGGCGGGGCGGGCGGCCCGTTGGTTCACTCTCGGCCGGTTTCAGGCCGGCCCGGGAATTTATATATATCTATATATATATATATATCTATATATATATATATATATCTATATATATATATATATATATATATATATATATATATATATATATATATATATATATATATTTGATAATACTTGATGGATAAATAAATTAAAATAGTTACTTTTAAATAAGAAAAAAACAAAAGGAAAAAAAATAAAAGGAAAGTGTGGGGAATGATATATCTAAGGCAAAGGTATTTTCTCAAAATTAATCTTTTGAGGGGTTTCGCTCAATGTTGTTAGAACCGGACCGAACCGGCCAGTCGGACTCGTTCGACTGTGACCTGGCGATGAAGCGGCCTTGTCTCACCTCTAAAACCGGAAAATTTAAAACTGGGTCAAATAACCAAAATCCGGTTCGACCGGATAAAACTCGAAAAACGGCGAGTCAGTAAAGAAACCCGGTTTTCGACCAAAACGTCTCAAACCACCGCTAAGTTGGTTATTTGTGGCCATATTTGAGCGAACATTCACAGACTGAGGGGTGGGTGGCTGGATCTAGTTATGAGTGGTCAAAGGATTGTCGGATATGGTCATGGGTGATCGAATAGGGGTAGCCGATTACCGAATTTGAAGAATAAAGAATGGAGAAATATAGAGTCTAAGCAAAAGAAATATAGT